ATAAGAAACCAAATAATGTTGTTTTGTTTAGGGGGTACACCTTAATACTGTTCAGGCTGACTTAGGATCAAAAATCCTGTTCCCTGAAATATCAAGACAACCAAGAGTTTTGAAAATTATTGCAAGTGCAATATAATATTCTCAAGCAGAATAATATTCCAGTCTAAATGCAGTGTCAAAAATCACCTATTATAAAAGTAATATTCCTACTTAAATTCTGTGACTACGTATTAAAATTTCAAATACTTTATATACTATTTAGACCAAAGTAAATAATTTAAATCTAAAGAAGTTACATTTCTTTCTATATATGAGCCCTAACAGATGGAAAAGGCTAGCCTAGTTATCATCCTCTTTATAAAACTTCTTTGTAGCTATTTTCTCTCAAAGGCGAAAGCTCTCTGCTATAAGATAAACATACACAGCTGTAGTAAAAAATACCCCCATTACTTGAGAGGAAAAGAATTCTCTTAGTATTTAAATAAATCAATCTTCATAACTTTGAATGAAAATTGAATCATCGAACAGGCAATGTTAAATATATCAATGAAGCTATAGCTGCCTACATTAACATATTAGTTAAAATAAGATTATTTATAGAATCATTAATTCATAATGAAAGTAGCCATCATTTGTTGAGCCCTCTTTGTGTTAAGCATTTTACACACAGTGACTCCTTTACTCTCCAACAATACTATGATGTAAGTTCTATTATCTTTACTATAAAATAAAAACACCCCTGATGGAAAGGTTAAATCACCTTCTTAACTTAACCAGCAGCAGAATGAGTGCAGAGCTGGGATGCAAAGCTTTACATCTGCCGTGTTTCCGACTGATTACCTTCTCTTTAACAAGCTGGCACCGCTTATCAGGAATTTCAAACTGAAAGGCCAATAGCATCTATGAAGGCAGCACAAGTAAGTGAAGAGGGCCAGATAAAGCACAGCACAGCAGCGAGGCCTGCGGCAATCTAGAGAAGGCATCATATCCAAAGACCGCGGCCACTGCGTAGGCGGATGCGGCTGTGGCCCTGCGGTGCTGCGACCCAGCACCCTGCCATGCCGGACAGCATCTTGAAAGAAGCTAGAAATCCAGACTGTTTATGGGACAAGCTCTTATTTTTAAATGTTGGTAGTGAAATAAAAATGTCCAGTATAATGGATGGCTAATGAAACATATCCGGGGCCACATTTAGATCGGCACAATGAATGACTCCGAAGTATGCTGAAGCAGACACACCGTGTGACACTGACGTTTACGGACTAGCAGGCTGCACCCCACCCAGGAAGAAGACGCTTCCCCACAGCCGTCCCTCCAATCTGCACAGCAGTCTTCTCTCGAATCTTCTTACTTGCCATGCTCTTCCCATCACAGCGTGTTTACTCTTGCTTTTTGTTCACTGTTCTTAAAATGTGCTCTCCTGTCATCTTCACCAATTTAGCTCCTACACAAACTTCAGATCTTACTTCAAGTACGACCTCCTCAATGAAGTACTCTGACTAACGCAACAGAACCCCCGATTCTAGGCTCTTAAGGCACAGCACACCTCTCCACAATTTTACATTTGAGTGACGGACTAACGTGTCTCCCCCCAACCAGACCATAAACCAAGTCCACAAGAACACATCCGGTTTTGTTCATCTTTGATGTTCCAGCGCCCAGCACAAGGCATGGTGCACAGCATACACTCAACAAGTATTTGCTTAAGGAAGAGAGGAAGGAAAAAAAGGAAAGAGAGCCCTAAGGAGGAAGCCTTAAACAACTATGTCCATCTTCTGCAGGCCTGGGCTTAGACACAACTCCAGACTATTGCTGCTACCACAGCACTCCCTTAACACTTCAATCAAAGATGACCAACAAATTAATCAACAACCAAATGAGAATGAAGGAAGCTTTATAAAGAGGATGTATAAAAGCTTTATAAAAAGGTAGGGTGGGGAAGTTACTTATGTATGGGTTCCTCCTTTTAAGAATATAACCTAGTTGAGAGACTGAAATCCTCCTGAAAGTGAGAGTTGATGATGATATCATTACACCTCTTAACATACGTATCGGAAATCTAGCTAAGTTTGTCGCCCAGGCTGGAGTGCACTGGCACAATCATAGCTCGCTGCAGCCTCATATTCCTGGACTCAAATAATCCTCCCACCTCAGCCTCCCAAGTGGCTGGGACTATAGGCATGAGCCACCATGACCAGCCAATTTTTTTAAAATAATTTTTGTAGAGATGGGGGGGTCTCACTATACTGCCCAGGCTAGTCTTGAACTCTTGGTCTCACATGATACTCCCGCCTCAACCTCCCAAAACGCTACTGCGCCCACTTCATACAATTTTAATAATCACAAACAAATCTGATGACATTTTAAAACAAGTATATTGACAAAATAACTGAAACCCAACCCTAATTTGAAGTCTAAAAAAGTTTTTTAAAAATTCTAACTTTTAAAATCAGATTCCATACTCTTATTTGCTATCTGCTTCTGGAAATGAGTAAATAAAGCATGGTAAATTCCCAGTAGGTATAAAGATAATATCTTAATTCTGAGAAATCACATCAAATATATAATGATTCCATGTCATATAGAGTCCAAAAAGATCTGATAATTCACAAGTGAAGACAAAAGTAAATTTAATATTAGTGTTTTAAGTATATAGACACTCTAATTAATGCATATACATAGTATTTAAGGTATAAAAGGCATAATACTCTAGAATATAAATATGCAAAATTAGGTCAACAGAATTCCTGCTCTACATCACCAAGTCCTATCATTGACTAAATAAAAATTCAAACTGTTAAATGTGGCTTGGACAGAACATCTAGAAATAAACAACTTTAGGGGTTAAAAAATAAAAAAGAAAAGTTTGCTAAAAATGAACCAAAGGCTTATATTCACGGACATACAACTATTTGATTCTGTCAAGTATGTACTTTGTCAGCATTACATCAACCACTGCAATCTGCCTTTTTAAAGAACGTAAGATATTACGGCAAAGAACTCTCCCAAATTGACCTTGTAACTCAAAGGCTTTAAATAATCTAATCAGGTAGCATCATCCTATTTGTGAGTTAATCAAAACAGCTTTTATTTACCCATACTCAACTCAGTTTGAAAACAAAATAAAACAAAACAGGATACCAATGAATCAAACAATACACCACACAGATCAATCAGCACAACTGGTCATTAAAGGCAAATGTTCAAAATAGGAAATACTAGAGAACAAAGATTTTCTTCAACATCTGCTACTCACACATTAACACCTGGAACAAAAGAACATCTGCAGTCAAAATAACTTACCGTTACAGATTTCAGTGTCATACCATGGTAGGTGCCCATAGTGTCAATTTTGAAGCCTTCCGTTTCTATAAAGAAAGGGGGTTTACTGTTAGATTTTATAAATCATGCATTTTATGATCTATAATATAAAATAATAGTCTACATTATATCTGACAGTGCAACAGTATACAAAGCCTATATATAAAGTTGAATTATATACTTGTGAAGATACTAACTTTAAAAAGGACACCAACCTCAAAATATGTTTCATATACACCAATAAGCCTATTGTATAGAAGCTGGTTAAGACTATCTCTGCAATTATGTTCCAAAATCACATTGAATAAAATACTTTATAACCTCCAAATTACTTACTACTAATACTCAACAATGGTACCACTAGAAGTACAATAGATAACAAGAAGTCCCTAAGTTATAAAAAGTTGTGTTCTGAAGTTATAATAAGGCATATGTTATACATTTTGTAGAAAGCAATGTTGTAAATAACAATGGGAGTTCCAGGGCAGAGTTCCAGTACGCCCTTCTGTGAAGGGTTATATGGTAAATGTTTTACACACTGTGGGCCATACAGTATCTGTCACAACCACTGGATTCTGCAGATACAGTGCAAAAGCAGGATAAGCAATATGTGCAGCATTCAACTGGGGGCAGCCCAATTTGGCCCGTAGAAGGTCAGATTTGGTCTTTGGGTTATAATTTGCCAATCTCTGCTTTTTATAAATTCATCCCAAAAGAAAAACACTGCAGGGAATAGTGCACTGTTCTCCTAAGACACATTTTCAGCATGTGTCTTTATCTAGTAAATGAAGTCAGCACACGAAATTCACCGCATCAAGGCAACATATCCTTTAAAGAAACTTAAATAGAGATTTCAGGTTATGTGGGAAAAAAATCATATATTTTAAACTTCTACTTGCTTCTATCTCACATTTTCATAAATCAAATCAACGTGAATGAAGATCCCAAGAAGTTATACTCCTGTTGGTCCTACCTCAGTAATCACCTATTACAGAAATGGTTCATTATTGCCACAACATCATGAAGGCTATCGAAAGTAAGTCCTTACATCATTGCTCCAAGTCTGTTTCCCAAGTTCTCCATATATACATTTATAATTTGGGAAACATGACTTGATATGTAGAATTGTCACTCTAAAACAAATTCTTTAGAAACAGAACTAGTATTAATAACAGCAAACATTTTCAAATAGCTTATTACATAACAGACACTATTCTGGAGACTTAATTATTTATTAACTAGTTCAATCCCCACAATAACCCTAAGAGACGGGTACTAATACTCTTAGTATTATAATTATACACAAGAGAAAACTGAGATGAATGCAGTTAAAATAACATTAAAATTCGCACAAAAAGTAACTGTGACATAAGCTATCAGGATCTAGAATCCATAATATTAACCAAGAGTTGGCTATTTTTTTTCTGTAAAGGGCCAGATAGCATTTTTAGGCTTTGCAAGCTATATAGACTCTGCTGAAATGACTCAATATTACTGTCACAGAGCTAAAGCAGCCAGAGAATACATAGATGAATGGGTATTGCTGTGTTCCAACAAAACTTTTTTTTTTTTTATTTATTATTCCAGGGTTTTGTGAGGGTACAAACATTATAGTTACACTTTATGTCTTTGCCTCACCCAAATGTGGGTTAAAGGCATACCCTTCCCTCCCTTTAGTGCTCCC